TCTGTAATAAACAAATAATTAATATACAACGACATTATTTGGACGTACAATAATATATTAGTAAGTATTTTATTACAAGGACGTTAAAAATTAACATTTCGATCGGATAACGATTTCGGCGACGCCCGTATTATAGGTGTATCAATACAATATTATACGCATACATTATAATATTACTATATTATAATTTACATAATATTTATAGGAGACGACTACTGTAATGCGCGTGCACGTGAAAAATCCGTTATGTTGGCCTGCAGGTATAAACGTCGCCGCGACGTCGCTTTTTGTCACCGCTAAAGATTCGTGTGTTCGTTTCGTTTCTTCCGATTGATTATGCGCGGAGACTGGAACGAGGAATGTTTGCCGATTTCACTGCGGCGACAGTCCATATAATTTTTTTCAATTTTTCCACCGGCACTTTTTCTCGCGTCCTGCGCGTACCTCCGGTGTCGGGGTCGCCAATAACTCACAGACACGTCTGCAGGTGTTGTTAATACTCAGTTGTCAAAAGACGCTTGCCGCACAATATATTCTTAACGATAATAATATATATTAATATGCATATTTCCGTCTATAGAGACGGTTTTCGATTGCATTTTTTAAACCGAAACTAACAATTTCCAATCACATGATGTATTATAAGCTACAATGGGGTGTGCGCAGTGGTCGAAATGGCTCAAGATAAGTGGAGGGATGCCTTACAATTCAGATTTAGGCCTATACGAAAAATAAAAAGTTTTCTTATACATAGGTATAAATATAAAAATCATAATAATTATTTCATTTTAAAACACAAGTCTTAGGAGGAATGCGTTATTCTAAACAAAATAAGTGGAGGGATGAAAAATGTAAATACAAAAAAGTAGAGGAATGTCATCCCTCCGTATCCCCCCCCCCCACTTCGACCACTGTGTATGCATATTAAGCAGTCCGTGTCAGCGCGACAACCCGCTACTGCAGCGCAAAGGAAATGAGCAGGAATAATATCTGAAAATCTATAATAAATGAGTATTATAGTTAAGAATTATTGTAGAATGCCTAACTTATAAGCTTTATATTTTCGATTGCGCAACTCGAAATGTGCGTAACCCATGATTGCCACGAAATGTAAGCGGTGTAGCATATAGTGGTTCTCAACCATATCCAATAGTTTGGGTTACCAATAATTGGATCTCCAAAAAATGAGTTACATAAAATGTTATTAATATACCTATAAATGATGTGAGTAAAAAAACAAAATAATAAATGAAGATAAATAGTTTCTTTTGGTTATGGAAGACGATTTAAAATATTGAGTTGGCGGGGGGAGGGGGTGTAGATCCCATCGACCATTATTTTCTAAAAGGTCGCATGAAAAATTGGTGGGTAAATACTAAATATTGTCTTAGATCGCCCACACACCTAAATCGAGAACCGCCGGTTCACCATCATATACACATCACAATGGCAAAGAATACAATTCTATATAGATGGAATTTTAGATTGGTTTTTCGAGTACGATAAAAGTATATTATTATTATGTTTCATTCGTCATTGTGAATCGTGATCGCAATGTTGCACACTTCACGAACGCGTCCGCCCCTGCTTAGTGGCCCACTTGATTCTGTGTGTATAAATATATATCACATGGGCATTTTTTTTTTTTTGGTATGTTTCAGATTCTGTAAATTATTTTAATCGCTCTTAGAAAATTATTATAAATCACTCCCGTATTATTATAAAATGATGCCTCGCGTGAATCCGACGAAACGGACAAATTCTCGTATAGATAAGGGACTACCATACCGCCACCCCACCTCGAAAATGTGGGTCGGCGATTCCGCATATATTTACGAAATCGATGAGTTCACCACAATATTATATATAATATGTTTATGTTTATATATATATAGGTAAAAGTGTATAAACCCATATGCACATATATATGTATATACCTACTATACACATTATCTATACATACGCGCGTATATACCTGCTACGAAATATGTATACATAATATATATAAACGTAACACATGGATTATACAACTTTAATATAATATATAAATAAATGAGCCCGTCGAGTGACGACGGCCATGAAATAAATTACTTCCACCGAACGCGTATTCAATATATTATGTACTATTATGTTGATAATACACTGGCACACTGCACAAAGGTCCGTCAATATAGATAATGTGCACAACGTTATAAATACCTATATGTGCAGGTGATCAAACTCGAACGCTCTAAAAAATGAACTGTTTATGGATGCAGCTATATGTACTTGAAAATGCAATAATATGCTCCCTTGAGAAAACAAAAAACCATGCCACAATTGTTGTATTACTGCGGGAAATGCGTAAAACTGTAAAAACTTACATTGACAATTGTAATATGTACCGAGTTCATTTTAAATTTGATACCGTAGAATATATTGTTAACACTCTTCGCGTCTCACGCGAATTAACAATGCATAAAAATATAAATACAATTCGGCTTCAAAATTAGTCGGCGATTGCCCCATTTACCCCAATCACCATAGATTATATTATAATACATCATATATTATATGTTTTTTTGTGCTGCAAAAGATTCTAAGAGACTCGACCTAACCTAGATTCGAAGGGGAGCGATGAATATGTATTGAATTTTGAACGACGTGTGTTTTTTATGTGTATAAAAGAGCATCCATTTGGGGGGGGGGGTTCCTCCTATTAAATAATAAAGTATACAAACAAATTATTAATTACATCACTTATTTCATATTTAACACCATACTTGATACCATAAACTTTTGCTTACTGCTTATCGCCTAATTATTGGTTAACCAGTCTTGTGTATACGTTTATACAGATATTACAAGAATATATTGACTATTGAGGACGATCAGGATTCTTTCGCTATTACAAAGTCAAAATATGGAGCCATTTGATTTTTTCCAAGACCATATAAATACTGGGCCTAGGTACCGGTAAAGTGAGGACTTATACGGGGTGGAGCGTGTGGTACAATAATATAAAAATAAGGAAAATATATTATTACTTATCGTTAATTTCAATACAATATGATCGGTAAATATGACGGTTTTGCTGTAGTATTCGCGCACAAGAATCTTTTATCGTGCCGTATAATAATCGCACATTATTTTGCTCTCGTGTAATACGAGTACCGGAATACGTACTTTACCTATTTGGCGTAGAAGTGTAGAACTATTATAGCAGTATGTATATTATTATTATGTCTATTAAAAACGCAAGTGTATAATAATATTATAATATTATTATTATTATTATTATTACTATAACAGCCAGTGCGCCGATTCGACGAGACACACTCGCGTTGTAACAAAGTGTAAAGGACAAATCCCAAAACTGGTTTTCGAATTGAAATTCTGCCAAATCGGTGTGCTGCAGCAGTTACCTATAATGATATTATTGTATTATTATCATCGTATAATATTAGATACATCTATACACGTGTAATGCTCACACACACACACACACACACACACACACACACACACACACACACACACATTACATAGTTGAGTCTACACACCTGTGACACTGCTGCAGCGCTTGACGCATCACCGTTGCCCATTCGCCATCGAAATAATATTTTTAATACATTTACTTCGCAAACATCGTCGAATATAATATTTTAATAATAGTCCAATACTACTGGCCGTAGTATAACGCAGCACACAAAGAAGTACATATTAATATAATGTATTGGGTTATTAATTTATTATAATGAATAACCGGTTAAGTGCCTAATACAAATTTGATTAAAATATAAAATATTATTCCCAAGCTCGCGTGAGATGGAAACAGACAGAGATAACTCATATTATAGTCATAATTACCACAGATACCTACCGTTTGTACGCAGATCAACGATAGCCGATCGTACTATTATAATGTACATTTTATGCACAATACCTACAAATGAAACCATAAGTCTTTCTATTATTGTCTTTTCTGCCTCTGACCAATTTTGGAATTATCTCTACCCATTTTTTTATGCAGACGGAACACATCACAGCTATGACCGAGAATGGGGCTGGGGAGGAGAGAGTAGCTTTGGACAAAACAATCGATGTACCTGTCTAGGTATATTGACTGCAGGTTTTCAAGAGATTTCCTATGGATATAATTATTTATCTGTTATATTTTACTTAAAATGTTTAATGATATAATATTATACTGTTTGATGGTTATTCATAATGTATTATGTGTTAAATCGTCAAATTTATCTCATGCAATTTACAAGTTTTTACCTATTATATTTTATTTACTCTCGACTGACTACATTTTTGTAGGGTTCACGTTTTTAGTAAACTGATCGCAGCTTGCATACAACCCAATGTTTCATTTCAATTAAACCATCTGAGAGGTTCCAGTGACCTATCGCTGTCGATTCAAACCCATGCATGGGATATAATAATATGAGTAAAGGCTATATCGTTTGTGGTGGATTTTAATATTATGCTCCCGTGGGTGGAAGAGAACGTTTGGCGTTTGTTAATATTGTATTAAAACGAAACGCCGTTGGTCCGAGCTCGACGTCATCTTTTATGCTACACGATTTATTAATAGCCAGATGCTCAAAAGTCGAAATTAATTTCAAAACGTCGAAAACCGAAATATTATAATATAATCAACGTTAAGACTCCAGAGGAGCGAAGTAAAAAAAAAAAAAATCGTTAAATTATTTCGACACCACCTACCAGCTATCGTCGTGTGTACATGAATTTATTTATTATGCACACAGTAGCCGTCACGTGAATTAATTTCGCACGTGAAAAATGAGTAAATCTGCGTTGCGATTACAGTATGGTTAGGTGTACTATTCAAACATGCGAATCGCATTTTATTGTAAACACTTTAACTCCCGTGTGCATTTCAACTAACGACGATCCGCGCACAATTTATTCAGAATACCGGTGTGAATTCATTGTGAATGAAAAAAAAAAAAATAATATATAATTATATTTAAATATTCAAATATACGTACCTATATTATGACTTACTCCGATAAGTTTAATATGGGACGGTGAATATTTCGATCGGCCCGAGCCGGCGGTAAACCGTAAACGTATGCCAACAGGCCTAGGTATATGATGTGTACAACGTGGGCTTGTAAAATATTTGCTCATTAAATTATGCTGCAGCTGCACCACTATAATAATATACAATAGCTGAGTTTCCGTTGCCACAAAAACATATTTGACGTACATAATATTGTGCACATTTCTGTCGAATATTATTGTTCGCGGAGCGTAGGTACGTTGTACGATAAATTATGCACACCGATGTCATGTAATCCGAAATCTCGAGAACTTATAGGCATTTTTCGAAAACTTGTCGCGCACATTCCAAAAATCAAAAACAAAATAATAATTTATAACCGTGCGTATAATTTTCACTATATTTACCCGCGACCATATTATTATACCGGTTTATCGAACCACCTAGAGATAACTCCGGTATTATATTTATATACATACCTCTGCGTGTTATATTATAGAAAAAAGCACGGACGAAAATATTGGGGGAAGGGGGGCTATAAGTCACATCAAATATCGTTCAAGCCGTCCTCCACAAGTTGACATATTATAATTACCATCGATAACACTGTATATACTGTATAATATTTTATATTATTATCTATGCCCTACATTGGAACCTACTACACAGGTCAGGTGTTTAGGGAGGGACATTGGAGCCATGCCCCCCTAGGCATCATAATAAACTACCTATAAATAATGATTTATTTCAGAACTCTGTCTAGATGTCCCGCAGAGTGTTTATAAATTATTTAGTCGCGGCCTGTGTAGGTAGAGTCGTGCTATCGCATTGTAGTCAGTTGGTAAGCAGTTAAAAGTATGATTTTGGACCAAAAGGATAGTGCCTCTCCCCCCTAGAAGACTAGTCAAATCCTCTACTTCTACTACATATATGAGTGTATTGTGTGTCATTGTGAAATAACCCCAATGGACTTATTTTTCTTCTTTATCTCTTAACAGAGTTTTATACCAACTCGTCAATAACATTATAGTCTCGAATGAATATTGTAAATTCGTTTTCAGAAAAATAATTCCATATTTGTTACTTGAATATCAAAATAAGGTATTATTATTATTATGGTAAGACGTAAAATCAGTATTTTGTTTTGATTTCAGTGAATATTGAGAGAAAGTGGGGAACATAGTGTAGTCTTTATTTAGTTCAATTTCCCGAAAGACTTCTGCCCAATTATTATGTTTGAGACATTTGTATTTATTATGGCAAATCGAGAAATCAAAAACAATCCGATAAATACAGCGACGAAACGGCATAACTATCGATTATTCTAACAGTTCGTGAGTTAAACCCAGTTTGTAACAATAACAATGATTGCAGTACAGCGTGACACGTTTCAGACGTGATATGCTAAGCTATTTTAAAGTGTCATCTCTGCTGGGAGAAGATCTCGATCCGGTTTGTGTTGCCAGCAGCAGCTAATGTCGAAATAATGGTATTAGAAATTGATTTTTTATTTTCAGTCGATCGTTTCGAACGCGGCGAAAATGCGTAGGCAACACAACCAACACATTCGATTCTTTTCGCGCGAACACTGCGTTCTTGTGGTTCTCGTAGAGGCGATCGAAACCGTAACCGTCCGTCGATGAATCGGTTGAGCAATCAATAAATGTTGATTTATCGTGGTTAATGAATCTTGTCAACGACTAAATAACCGTACAAACGTCCATGTCGATACTGTATCGGCGGAGGTGAATCCTCTGGTACGCGGACGTGTGCACGGGGAACAGCTCGTTGGCACCGCAGAAATTCGTAAGCTGGATGGCTGAGGGGCGTAGATCATCTCTCCGCCCCTTCGGAAATCTACACAAGAAATACAATATTTTATCCCGTCATAATATAACTATAGGTATTCATAATATTCGAGACCGCTGTGTCACATAAATACGATATTATACCATAAACCAACATTAAAGTATACGCGCATTTTACCGTTTTATACCTGACCCGAGTCACAACTATACGATGACAGCATTCTGGTCACTATATCGTTATTGTTTTGAATTGACACCTGCGCAACAATATTGTTCGAATAGGTACGGATAGATAATTATTACAGAAGATTTAAATCTAATTTTAGAAGATTAAACATGATCTATACCCGTCGTCGTGACTGCAGTCGATTTGCCCGTGGACAACCTCAGAACAAATATGAACATTATAATAAAAAATAAAACAAAACAAATACACGGTGATAATAACAACAACAATAATAAATCACTATACGATCGGCCTCGTTTTTGATGTAATTTATCTATGCATATAATTTTTTTTTTTATCATAAAAGATAGCCTCGACGACGTGACCATTGGCTTGTCTTACATATTATAGGCACTTGAATAATAATTTAAATCATAATTTATATAATATAACTGTTGCGCAGTTACAATAATTGCTATTATTACGATCTAGTGCAAACATATTACGGGCGATCACACGCATCGGTTCGGTCAACGCACTTTTATCGGACATTTGTGTGTGTGTGTGTGTGTGTCCTTATAAATAATATTGTTATATTGTTTTATGACCGTATAATGAGACCGGTGCACGGCGATTATTTATCTTACAATATTACGTGTAGCCTGGCGAATTCGCACGTTCCGCGTACCTATATCAGCGAGGATTGGGTTTGGAATCTCGGACGGGAGTTATTGACCGCCATATATTATATTATTATACTCTATTTGTGTGTGTGTGTGTGTGTGTGTGTGTGTGTGTGTGTGTGTGTGTGTAGGCTGTACTTAGCTGAAGTTGTTATACTATATCGAACGTAACGAAATCCCATGTCCGAGTGTATGTGTGCGTATTGTTTGACAGATTACCTATAGAGCGAGGAATTTATAATAATATTATATTACCTGCAGCTGAGCTAATAAAATAATCTACCCGTAGCCTGTAGGTACGAGCTGAAAATCCGACTTGGCAAAATGAACAAAATCGAAAATACGGAGATTTTTAATATGCGCATGAATTTTGAATTTGTTAACTTTTGTCAGCGTATATTTGATGATAAAAAAATGATGTTGAAAAATTTTGTTTTTAGAACTAATATTGTAAATAAACCATGTGGGTCACGATAGATTTTCAGGGATAAATTTGGATCGTGGTTTTAAAAAAAAAATGAAAACCACTGCAACAATACCCTGCATATTTCAATCAATCAAATTAAATTTGAAGAATAATAACTTAAATATTATTATTAAATAGTCAAGTGGTGGTAAGTAGTTCAAAAAATGAATTGCTTGATAAAGTATTTGACGCCACGTCATAATCGATAACATTTGATTTATACACTTGACAATATGAAAAAAAACAAAAAACAATAAATTTTTGTGCACAAAAATAGTATTTTTTATTAGTTTAACAAAATAAACGTCGCACATAGTAGTGGCTCAGTCATAACATTTCATAAAGATGTAAGTACATCATTTTTAAATATAGGTACGGTCAAAAAAAAAAATCTGAACATATAATTTTGAAAAAAAAAACAAAAAAAAAGTACATCAAAGTTGCAATTATGTTAACATTTTATGAGTACCTACATAATTTAGAATTCCAAAAAGAAAGGATGAGACAATTAATTTGAAAAAAGTGTCGATCATAAATATTATGACGATTTTGAAATATGTTAGTCACAACAAAAGGGTGCAAGCAAAAATCGAAACAAAACAAAATTGTAGAAAAAAAAAATAAATACATCGGTCAGAAGACACATAAAACAAGGGGGGAGGATACGGGATGGCAATTGGGTGCGAATTTGTACGTCTGCAGGCTACTGGTCACCTCCACAACGTTCCCACGACCGGTGCCGCGGACGGACGAGTGTCGACGGGCGAGCTTGCCCGGACGAGTGACGACCTTGCCCAGCCGGCGAGGCCAGACCGAGACGGCCACGGGAGCGATGGTCGACGGTGACAAACGGCGGCGGCCAGTGCGCGATGTTGGGCGCTTATTATTGATGGTCGACGGTGACGACATTGACGACGGACGGCGGAGACCCGGCAGACACGGAGCGAGCGGATCGAGATTTGGCGCCTGCGGGATCGGCGGTGATCGCGATGGACAATAGCGACCCGGCCGACTTGGGATTGCGCGGGGCGAAAAGGCGATCGTCGGCGGACCGCGGTGCGATCCTCGACTCACGGTAATTTTCGCCCTGGCGTTGTCCCTTCAGCCGCGTCTTTGTCCCTGCTGTAATGACCGCCGGCCACGAAGTCTCGCGCGCCGCCGTACCCCGAAACTCTGATCGTTTCCGCGGGTCCGGCGCCGCTGACTTCCGCGGTCCTAGCACTTATCTCTACCACTCTCCCGCGCCCTAAGTCTCCTCCGCCGCCGTAACGAGTCGCCATCGCCGTCGTCATCTTTGGTATCGACGGGGCGGGATCGTTGCCCGCGCCGGTACCTCTATACTAGCCGCCGTGCCGTTGTCATCTTCGTCCGTCGCTCCACGCGACCGTACTGCGGCCGGACGCACGCCGAGCCACCAGAGGGTCTCGCGTGTCACTGCGACCGAGCGCACTACGCCCGTGAAACGCGTCGCGCCGTGGGTGGTCGGGGAACGTGTTCGGGCGACATACCGCCGTGCACCTTCCGGGCTCTTTCCCGCATCCTCCCCTCCTATCCGTCGCCGTCTTCCAACCGACGTCACTTGCCCAAGGGGGCTTGAACTACTGGGAGCTGCGGACGGTGGTATCGCATCGCCAGCAACATAACACTCGGGAAATACGTTTTATGCGTTTCCAGCCGGCGGATAGTCTACTCCTGCGGGGGGAAACGCATTTCCCGGGTGCTGCTGACGGGTCCATCACCCAACCGACCAGCTCTCCAAAACTGTTCATTACTGCCATGCCTCTGGCCGGCTCAATATCTTCACATAACACTCCAGGCTGCACTTGTACTTCGTCGTGTGGTCCATTTTCGGAAATCGGGGTGGGATCGACAGGCCCCAACTCCGAGGACGGGGCGTCGCCACCCGACGGCGTACTGGCCAACGAAATTATCGATTCCACGGCTTCAATGACGGCATCGCCTTTTTTCAGGCTTGTGACGTCGAGAGGTGCGTCCTCAGGGTCCGGAGTGGGATCGACAAGCTCCGGGTCTTGGGACAGCGGCGCGTCGCCGCTCGACGATTGATCACCGGCCAAGAAAATTGGCTCCTCGGATTGTTTGGCCTTTTCGTCGTCTCTCATCTGTACTGCGTCTCCGATTGGTGGGGCGTCTCCAAGTGGTGCTTGTTCGGGAGCCGGAGTGAACTCTACGGGCT